CCGTGCGCGACTTCCAAGTGCTGAGTCACCGGGCGCTCCCGGGCCGCGGGGTTGGGCCTGGGCGAGGGCGCGGGGGAGGGGGAATACCGGGAAGGAAAGGCCCCGGCCGGGACGTGGCCTCGAGGTCTGCAGGCCCGGGTGGGGACTCCAGTGGTTGTGGCCCTCCCTGCGGGCTCGTTTTCTTGGTCCTGTGGGTCGCACGGACGCTTGTTGCGCAGGCTGGTGGTTGGGGCCGGAGAAGCGGCGTCGGGTTGTCGCCGTCGCATCCTTCCCACTCTGGGTCAGCGGCCTTCAGGTGTGGCCCGCGGGCGCTAAGTCATCCGGGAGCTAGCTCTTGCACAGCCCTCGAGCTTTTGATATTTTTAAAGGGTTGTGAAAAACCCCAAAGCCATTTTCGACGGACTGCTTCTGACCCTTAGAGAAAAGTTTGCAGACGTGTGCCTAGGCAAAGCAGATGGCTTTGACACAGGGCCTTTCCTCCTCCAAAGCCCTCGAAGTACGATCACCTGTTGGGGGTTCTTCTAGAATCGTGATTGTGAGCCCCGGCTGCAAGTAAACAGCTCAGACAAACAAAAAAATAACGGCTACCCGAGCCCCCAACCCCCAGCCCAATTATTCTCACCCCTCAGGGTTGCATTCTGAGCATCTCTATTTTCAAAAAAAGTTTCCAAGGTGACTCATGTGTACCCAGGAGTGAAAACAATTATCATCTGGGTTGAGGTTACTGGTGAGGTGGGGGGGCGCTTCATTGGGGTGCTTCCATTACATCAAGCCTTGTAAGTAACTAAACTGGAGCATTCCGGAGTCTTTGTAAACTGCCCCTGGAATAATTGCTCTACCAATAGGCAGGTAGCTGACATGGTCAAAGATAAACTTCTGAGCAAATTTGTGAAACACAGTCTGCAGAAAGGTTCATTTATCAGGAATATTGCAAAAATAATGGGGCTAGTGAAGTACTTGGGAATAATACTGGCCCTGAACGTGGTGAGGTTCTCAAAACTCCCTGCATCAGTTGATTCCTACTCATGGTTACCCAGTAGGACAGAGTCCAACTAGCTCTTTAGGGGAGCTGCAAGCCTCATCCCCCCC